TTGAATGCTTAACGACTTAAGTCTTGAAGGCACTTATATCAAGTTAATTATCTAATCAAATATGTGACGTGGCTTTTTAAAATACCATCATTGTGCGCTCCACTGCTGGTGTGTCCATCTTCTACAAGAGAAAAAAGAAGGAAACATTTGTAAAGTTGCCTTGTACAAATGTGTACCAAAAGAGCCTTTTTCGTTTAATCGTCTCATTATTTGAACACTAAGCGCCAGCATGGGAAATATATGTTAAAGTTAGTTTTAAGAACTTTTAACATTCAAATAAACAAAAACAATTTATAAATCTATTATTAAAATCTGTGTTGGAACAAAACATAAAATTGTTGAATTTGAAAGATAATATTCTAAAAATGGAAAGGACTTCGGTCGAGAGCCTATTGGACTGAATGTTCAGTTTAAAATCGCTTCTCTGGCCTATAAATCTTCAATTGTTTCAAAAAGAATAAAATAAAGTAGTTCTGTCTAAAACTAAAATAAATTTGCTATCTCGAAGTCCCCATCGATTATTTCCAAACTTTTCTTTAATGTCTTAGTTGTAAGTTTTATATTACATTTTTTTTAATTTGTTATTTCTGTGGAATCATTAATTTTCACTTGTGTTATTGTTCTTCTAAAAAAGCGAAATGTGACTCACGTTTTGATTGAATGGCTTTAATTTTTGAGATAGTCAACCAGTCAAAATAAAAAAAATTCAAAAAATAATAAGACATTAGTTTATTTAATCAGTTTTGTCTGAGCTAACGAAAAGGCTGTATTCTATAAACAATGAAAAATAGTGATTGTTGTTTTGAACTACTTAAAACATTTTCACTCGAATGGCGTGCGTGATTCAATTTAAAAATACTTTCCAGAATAAAACCATGTGTTACAGTTTTGACTTCATTTATTACTAAACAGCCAAGTCATATACAAAAACGTTAATCCAAAATCTAAATTAAAAGTAATAACAAATTGCCTATCTACTAGGGTCAGTAACCAAACGTATTAACAGAATGGGCGGATTTTGTTCATACTTATGCTGCGTTTGAGAATCCACATCGGATGCATCTGAGATGTAAAAAATCTTTGATCACGTGATTCAGTATACGTAAATGTAATGGGACAGATGTGTCCGATGTGAATAAAAAAACGCTCGAGATGTAAAAAATGCATCCGATGTGGATTCTCAAACGCAGCAATAACATTACACTCGCGCACTGACACTTAACCTGTATTAAATATAACTGTAAATACAAATATTTACAAACAAATATACTTATCCAAACAGTGATAAATTATATAAAAAAATGTTTTTTATAAGATTTTCTTTTATGTTCAAAGTTAGGACTTTATAATTATTGTGTCGTTCATAGAATTCTGTACTAAATAAGAGCACTGATTTTGGAAATAAATTTTAATCATTTTGGCAAGTTGTTGAACCTTGTAACATTGCATAATGAAATATAAAGACTAATTGAATATGTATGCCACAGATAGACCACTTGTAGGTCTATCGATTTCGTCTTGAGCTATTCCTAAAGAGTGGAGCTATTGAAAACTTTCTTTCAAGGTGATTTATTTCAACACTCAGAGCCAGCCGAGAGAACATTTTTTCTTATATTCATGATCAACAGCCAAGATACATTTGGAAGTCGCTAATATATCCCTGTGACTATTTTGTTTTAATTTGTTTTCCAGTGTTGATTGTTGATTGATTTTTCCCTGATTAGTGATTTTCTTGTTCCCTAACTCATTATCTTGCAAACTGTTGATAGCTTTGATGAAATTTTGTAGCGAAGCTTGTTCAAATTTTGAAAACTATAAAAATATTCAGCTATTTTTATGGTTATAAACTTTTCCAACACTTAGTCCAATTAGAGGTACTTAGATTACATGCAACATTTTCAGAAGCTTATTCCTTTTTTGTATTCTACTTGGAACTTTTCAATTTTTTTGAAACATTGGACATTGTTATCAGTTGTTATTAGGTATTCTTTGTTATGTTGTTTATAATGTTTACATATTTTGACATAACCGCACCCGCACATAACCAAAATATTGACCAAAGTCCTTAACCACTTTTTATGACCTTAATCCAAAAATTGTATTTGTGCGGTTTTGTCAACTGGAATAAATTTTCATTATTATGTTTAATTTTTCATGTCTTTTATCATGAATTGTTATTTTTAAATAAATAAAGATGTTTTTAACTATAATAGGTAGGTAGGTGATAGAGCCGATAGAGGCCATGTGCCTGAACGAAAAGAAGACGTAGATGGCGTATCTGCATAGCATTAAAAATTGACTACTTCATTAAATCGTCACTAGATGCCGCTCGAGATTGCATCCAACACTTTTTATTGTTGCATTATCCTACTATATTATTTTCATACAACGGTAATATTTATGCAGATGGTACTTTGACTTGTATTGTAATGTAGCTTTTTTTAATTGCTAAGAGGGGTCAGCACTGATTAAATAAAATAATTTTAATTGGTTTGTTAAACTGTTTTCGTGCAATAAGAATAAAATTAAAGTTAAAAAATTCCTAGACTAAAAAATTATGTTACAATTATCGATTATGTTACACATTATCGTTTAACCTAATTTGATGGAAAAATTATGTTACAATTCCATAATTATGTTACAAGTGGCAACACTGCTGCAAACAGCCCAAACACGACGATATGGTTTTAGTTTCATTCGTGCTCAGGTATCGGTAACTGGTATAGCCCGAGCTGAAACTATATTTTTGTTTCAAAGAACAGATTCTAGATGGCGCTGTACACAACAATTTACAGAAATCTACAATTGATGGTGGAAAGAGTGGGATTATTATTTGTCATTGTCAGGCATCCATTATCGATTACCTCGCGGTGAATGACATTTGCCATTTTACCTGTATTTTTTGTGATTATCAATATCATATTGTCAATAATTATTATTTGTTTGTATTTGGGTGTGCTCTGGATCTTGGATGAATAAATAGTAAGTATTTTGTAAATAATTGTTTATTGTATTGTCAACTTGGTCTTGTTTAATTGTGTTTTAAATGTTCAATTTGTTTACTTGATCTTGCTGACGATTGAGCTTATTTTAAATTGTTGTGGTCATTTTTAGTTATAAAAGCTGTAATATATCGTATTGTTGTATGCCAAATTGTTTTGTAAACACTCTGAAATCTTAATAACGATTTATTTCAAAATTGAGTATTGGGTGTTCGCAGTCCATTTTTCAAGAATAAAACAACAAATTTGTAAAAACTATTTAGTGTGTGATAAACATTTTAAAGATATGTTTAAAGTTCTTGGTGCACGCAGCGATCTACCTGTATTTTTATTTGTTCTAGTACAAACTTTTTCAAGCCGTTTGGAGTGGCAGTATTGCATCGTTGAAGACAAAAACAGCCTAGTCAGGCAAGTAATAGTCACTGTACTTTTTGTATTCATGCCTCACATTTGATTTTTATATTGATTTAGTTCAGATTGTTACTTTTACTGTTTTTTATTTGTTCTAGTACAAACTTTCTTCAAGCCGTTTGGAATGGCAATATTGGATTGTGGAAGACAAAATAGCCTAGTCCGGGAAGTAATGGTCAGTATACCTTTTTTTATTTATGCCTCACTTTCTGTGCTCAGTTTTGAAGGGTTCAGGAAAAAAAGGGGCCTAGTCACAATTACCAAAATGTTCAGAAAACCAAATTTAATTTAGACTGACTAAATACAAACTTTTGATACTTTAAGGTAATTGATTACAAAAAGATGTTACTTAGTTTAAATGTTGCCTGATTATATTGTAGTTTACCACTTAATTTACCAGACAGTTGTAATTTTTTATTCTAAATACTGAAAATGACAAACAAACAGTAGGAAAGTCCTTGGACATAATTTTAAATGCACTGTTTTGCATTTGCTAATACTGGTATTTTACAAAATAGGGCGGACCAGTTCAATTTTGATAAAAATGTGGCTTAGCTGCTTTTTTCTTCCTGTACCCTTCTTGATTTATAAGTTGATTAATATTTCTTTTTTGTTTTAGATAAAACTCTTCAACCTCTGTGGACAATGACTTAACTTTCCAGCTAATTAACACGCTACATTTAATTATTCTATTTTGTATGTTTTTTTTGTTTTAATAAATTAATTTTGTTGATCATGCTTTTTAATTTTTTGTAAAAATATTTCAACTTGTAGTCAAGTAAGGATTGGTTCATACTACTCATTTTTTGCTTTATTGTAACAAATATAATTTTATTGCTACAATAAACGTAAAAAAGGAGTTGGTATGAACAAATCTTAATTTGACTACCACTTTTAAACTAAATATTGAAGGACCATTTTGAACGTTCCCGCGTTTTGTGTTAACTAAAGTGACCGCGAGATGGCGCCACTTCCGCCAAATAGTTCAAAGAACGCTCACCAGGTGTTACAAAATTGTCTCAAATTTTAACATTGCAGTTTCCATTCCAAAAGTAATTGTTCTCTGTTCGTGCTGTTTGGTCCATTTGTTGCGCTTGTTGTGTTCGTTCGCACTGTTCGCGAGCAAAGTGGACCCACCTTTATGTGTGCTGAGAGGATTAAGGAAGTGTAAAGATACCTATCAAGTAGAGGTTTGCTTCTAACCAATTGGATAGATAAGGGACTGTAAGGAGAAGGCAGCTAGGGGCTAAGTTGGGACGACCCTTTGCAATCTGGTAATTACGTCTATCTTTCAAGTAGCGAGTTAGCTTTAACTCTAACATTAACAGCGCACGTGAAAAATTATCTTTATTAAATATTCTTAACTGTAAAAAGTACTGTATTATTTAAAAGACCAAGATACAGATTTGCTTTTAACTTCATCGTCTTTCATATATACATAATTGATTTTGGCATAGGCATTTTTCAAAATGGATTTTTTTTAATTTGCTTGTCTGGATATTAATCAACAAAATGATTTTATCGAAATTTTATAGTTTTATTACTAAATGTTTAAAGTTTTTAAGGAAAATATATATTAAAACTGACCTGTATCTTCACTTGGAGCTTCTATGCTTTCGGGTATGGATTCCATGGGTTTCAATGGCTTCTTTTTTTCATCTATATCTGGCTTTGTTTCCAGTAACTTTTTATTTGCCTAAAAAATACAATTTTAGAATTCAATAAACGTTTATCTAAAAATCAGAATTAGAGGTTGGATTTTGATTAGAAATTTGATTAAACCAAAATAAACATTTAAAGTGAAAGCCTAGATTATCGGCGTCTTATAAGATTGCATTTATTATTAAAATATTACCTCTAAAGCCTTTTTGGAACTAATAATCTTTGCTTTTCTGGCACGTCTTTCAGCCAGTTCCTAAATAAAAAATAAGAATTAATAAAGTGTTCGGAAAATTATGCTGAGGTGGTAGAAACATATTCAAAAAAGAAGTTAACATCCCATGAAACTATAGAGATGATAAAGAGAATTATGATGAAAAAGAGAAAGAAAATAGTATTGATATAAAAAGTTTTTCACTTACATCTTGTAAATTGGTTGCAGAAGATGACGTACTGCTATCAACAACTTGATTTTTTTCAGTAGCAACATCAACCATTAGAAAATGGTATTTAACATCGCCATATTTTTCTCCATGGGTTCTTTTCATATGGCATTCCGAAAGAGTAAAATCGCACGTTTTCCGAGGGACGTAAGAATTAACAAGGAACTCGGCTTCACTATCGGAAATGTCCAAAGGATTTGCCGATCGAGGTTTGCTGCTCTCCATACAGAAACTGCACTGTATCCCATATTGTCGATGTGAATTTTCCGACGACGTTCCAACACATTTAGCTCGTTTACAACATAAGAGACACGAATGCAGAAGCTTTTCTTCTTCGTCTATAGGATGTCGACCGGTCTTTATTTGTTCTGGAATTTTTTCTTTATCGCGAGTAATTTTGATGACCTCTTTGTTTCGTTCGCAGCAACGTCTGCATATTCGGAGAGCTTCGTTATCTAAATTCTTTTTAGATTTTGTGTTGTCTAAAAATAGATATTTGTAAATTAAACTAGATAAATCAAATTTCTAAATACTCAAGACCCAGAGAGGCCACAATAATTTAATAAATTATTTTAAAAAAATATATAATTCAAAAACGAGTATGTGCTCCAAAGTAAGGAGGTTGGTCTCACAGTAAGAAGTATATAGCGCAACGAGGAGTTTGTAAAAGATGTCGACTTACGAATAGTTACGAATACTAACCTACAAATTGGGAAATACCCTTCTAACTCCATGCGAGTGTTTTTTCATTTCACTACTGAAGACTTTGAAGAAAAATTGTTAATATGGGGTGCTTAACGGTGTTTCAATATTTTTAAATTGGGCAATTTGGAAAAATGAGCACCACAATTCCCCCAACGAAACTATGGAATATGTACCTACAACCTTAAATTAAATACAAAAAAAAAATAGAAAAAACTAAACAGAAAAATGTGCCCACGTCAAAGATTCAAATTTTCTTTGTTTTTATTTTTCACTTTGAAGCGTTGGAAAACTTAGATAAAAGAAAATATAAAAAAATAAATAATGAAATACTAACCTATATGGTGTGCAATAAACTTTGTAATGGTTTAAACTTTAAAATCTATTGGATTTGGAATAAGGATATGCAGTTGAGTAGAATGTAGGTAAAAAACTTAAAAACACTATTTATTTTATTTCCAAGAATAATGCAATATTTATTCCATATAAATATGTTAAAAACCAAAATAAAATACAATAAATAAAATAAAAACAAAATAAATAAATCAAGATTTATTTTGTACAAAATTTACGAAATGAGAGATATTTAAATCAAAATTTAGATTTTTAAGACTAATAAATTATAAAAGTAAATAAATCAATAAATTTACCATATATACAAGGTGGGGATTTTAAATGGAATGCTACTAATAGCGAATCTGCCGATAAGAATTTTGTAAAATCCGAAAACACTTAGAACTATCCAACAATAATCCTACTTGATGAGTCTATTTAAATTAAGTAAAAACATTTGCACCAACCCCTGCAATTCAAAATCTTCAGAGGGTAGCTATCCTGCCCTAGAGTTGAAATAATGGAGGACATCGACATTTCCGATTAATTTCATGCAAAATTTACCGTAGAAAGTTGATAGATGAGTTGCGGGAGAGGTAGTAACAGGTAGACACATAAATTTGACATCATATATTTTTCTTAAAAAAAAATTTTTCCTTTTCAAAATTTAACCTAGCATGAGATAGAAGGTAAGGAACACAAAAGTACATTCAATTTTGATCACTTATTAAAAAATAAACATATAAAAACTAAATTAAACAAAATCTCATTGTCGTACTGTTCCGACACTTGTCGAAACAAAGAGACAACATTTAAATTCGAAAAGTTAATTTTCGGTCAATTGTGATTTTAATTTGCCCCACATAGTAAACTGAATGTTTTCCATTGAACTTTACCAAACACACATTCTTCAGGTAGTGGGTGACGATGAAAGTCTTCAAAGATAATAGGTTCAGGAATGTCCACCCCAATAAAATCTTCATCTCTAGAATCTTATAATTACAGCTGCTCTTCAGCATCTGTGTTGTCAGAGTCAGAATCAAAAACTATTTTTTTACTTTCTTTTGCTTTGAAGTTTCTTTCTGATATTCAATCAGTTGCATTTTTTTGGGAGTGTATGTCACCATCATCGTTCTTCCTTCACTAGTCCATTTAAAAAAATAACGGTAAAAGGTCGAGAAACGCCGCATTTTACGAGACAACTTGTCCCCTACGTATTTTGGGGCGTTGATTACGAAAATGAGGTTTAAAACTGGCAGCAATGGTGGTACCACCCTTAAATTGCAAAAAACACCCCTAAATAGGGGTGTTTTTCGACTGTACTTGTTGTTTGGCAAACTAAGCCATCTTATATGTTTTTTAGGGCGCTGATTACGAAAATCGGGGTTAAAACTTGTAGCAATGGTTGAACCACCCCTAAAATTGCAAAAAAAACACCCCTAATTAGAGGTGTTTTCTCCGGAAAATTCACCCCTTGGGAGGGGTGTTTCTGGCATGTGGGGGGTGTCACACAAATTTTCCAGTCTCGACACCCCGATTTTCGAAATCAGCGCCCTAAAAACCATGAGATGAGTTAGTTTGCAAAACAACATTTAGGGGTGTTTCTTGCAATTTTAGGGGTGTTTCAACCATTGCTACCAGTGTTAACTCTCATTTTCGTAACCAGCGCCCCAAAATACGTAGGAGACAAGTGGTCTCGTCAAGTGCGGCGTTTCTCGACCTTTTATTTACCGTTATTTTAAATGGACTACACGTCTTTTTTGACTTTGTGTAGTTTTCCTTGGCAAGCCTTGAGGTAAACTTTGAATGATCTTGGACTAACAAAGCTTCCATATTGGCTTGTCTTTAGTTCTGCAGGAGTTAGATCCATTTTTGGACTATTTCTCAACACGTTCAGCGTTTAATCCAGAAGTGGATGCAGCTTCATTTCGTATGATTTGTTCTCGATCAGCTGGGCAGGAAATCTTTTCAGTGAATATATATTTATCGAATCGAAAGATGTCCGTTTTTCTAAATGCATTTGCAATATTTATTGGAGTCATTGCGCTTGCATATGCTGTCCCCACACATGATGGAATATTGTAGATGATGAATGTTTCTCATGGGTGATTCATCATCCAGGCATCTAAAGCTGCATTGTAAAACGTTTGGAAAGGTTTCAGTAAAGCGATATCCAATGGCTGCAGTTTGTTCGTACAGTGCGGTGGTAGTTAAAATCGTGACAACGTTGTTATTGCAAAGATCAATTGCCTCAATCGACAAGTGACTTTGGTATAAGCAAAGATGGATTTTCTCTCGAGCTAATGTTATTCTTAATAAAATATTGGGCAACTTGTACAAAACAATCGGTGTTCATTGTTTATCCACCCTGCTTTTGTAGCCAAACCTGAAGTCCCGGGTGGAGCATCATTTGTCACAAAATCTTTAAAGTGCACTCATGGAAATATCATCACGGGCGGAATAGTAATTCCGGACGATCAAACAATACAAAATGTTGTTACAAGAGTACTGCGTTCTGCACTTGTGGCCTTACTAATTTGACAAGTTACGTGTTTCTTTCTCAGCAAATACTTTTTGAGATTTTGCACCGTGACTGTGCCGGTTTCATCAAGATTGCATTTCCAAATATAGGATACCACTTCAAAACTTCTTCCAGTTTATTAAAAAAAGATTCAACGTTGAATTTGTTGAATCCTGTTGCTCTTGACAAGCTACATCCTTCTGGAAGTCTTAGTGTCAAGTTAGGATGACGTTTCTATAACCCTTTAATCCATGCGAGGGTTACAATTTCTGTGGTTTGCCATTTTCTAGGTACATTTACTATTTTTTATTGCACATTTATAGGCCAAGCGACGAGTGTCTTCTCGGGATAAGCCATAGAACATTTTAGCACATGCAATTATATATTCGGAAAGAATATTCTCTTGTAAATTGGTGAAAATTTGTCTGACTCGGTAGTTGGGACGTAGACGGATTTCAGGATTTTGCATATATTTTTTGAAATATCTGTGAACAGGCTGGAACGACAAGTCCTTTGTTCTAGAAGCTTTTTGAATACTCATGCCTTCTTGAAATAATTGGAGAGCTTCCATCTCATCGACTCCTCTGAAAAACGCCCTATTTTTTTGTTGGTTTTATTTATTCTTGGCATCTTGTCTGCAAAATAAATAAACAATAATTATAACATGTAGGTAGTATAGAATTGCATTTAGAGAAAAAATAACCCATCCGACAGTCTCAGTGTTCCACTTGAGAACAGTGAGACAGTATCAGTGTTCCAGACACGATTTTGTCTCACTGTTCCTAATTGTCGTGTTTTAAAAAAATAAAAATATCGATAATCAACTTAAAAGCTCATGAATAAAAAACCTTACCTTGAATAATTCAGCTTCTTAAGGATACAAATGACGCTTCTAACACACACTGCGAAATACTTCGTCATTCTTCGTTTGAATGTCAATACTCTAACTAAATCTCTTTTAGCGCGAACTTAATCAAACTTTGGCTGATGCTTCAAAAGTGTCTTTTCCAATGATACATGACACTGTGGTGTGGAAGCTTAAATGCAGTTGTATTTATTTTTCTCACTGTTCTGACTGTTTCACTGTTACTACCTTTCCCCTACTATATACACTTTTAATGAGTGATACGGTTTTTTGATTACATATTATATACCTATACGATTCCGGCATGATAAAACCTTCGATTCTGCCTTGTATTATTCCCGCACTTATGAACAGAACTCAACTGAGTCGGACTTGGCTGAGTCGTCCTTGAACAAAAATCGAAGTTGGTTATAACTTCTCCAGAGTTTAAGGTAGTTCCGGTGTTGCACTGGAATTTAGAGATTAACAGTAGCAAATCTATAACTGCTATGTACATTTACGGATTTGTTACTACCCATCTCTAAATTCACGCGCTATAACCGAACTACGAATTTCGCCCTACCCAAGTCCGACTCGGCTGAGTTCTGTTTATAAATACGGACCTTGAGTGAATAGATGTTGCTTGCACATGCAGTAAAAGAAACGACACAATATCCATATTACCCGTTATAGGTGAAGCCACCGGTCGGTAGGGAGTTTCCGACCTGTTAGAGCCCGTCCAGACGAGCCACTCGGTGGCGACATTTAGTAGCGCCACTTCGTGGCGGGTAAACGCCTGCCATTTTATTCAATGTGAAAATGTAGAAACTGTCCAGACGAGCGTATGTGGCGAGCGGCTGTGGCGAAGAGAAGCAAGTCCCCGTGACGGAGTGGCGACACTCAGTCGCTGGAACCGTCCACACGGGCCACTTTTGGCGTCGACTGTGTCGTTGACTTCTACTAAAATTGGTAGATATATTTTATTTTGATTTTCGGGGTCTGGTATTGAGTAATATGACGTTTGATGCAGATCGACTTATAGTTGAAATAGAACAACGTCCTGCGGTTTGGAAAAGCAGTTCGAAAGAATATAGCAATAGGGTACTAAAGAGTAAAGCTTGGGAGGAAATTTGGTGTAATTTTCATAAAAGAATTTAAAGTAATGGACTCGGGTGCAAAGAACAAGGCATGTAAGTATCGCTAGAAGCGCTAGAATGAGTACTTCCTGGTCCTGAATCCATAGTGACATTGGTAATTTTAATTACCTTCCAACATGAGCCTACCATGGAATCGCGCTACTCAGTAGATAGAACGTCCACACGAACGACCAGTGGCGACACCGAGTGGCCTTTACACGCCACTTAGCAGCACGGCTGAGTAGCGCCACAGAGTGGCTCGTCTGGACAGGCCCTAACTAGCAACGTTCATACCATATCCTTTTCTTTTCTGCAGTTGAGAATGCTATTTACCATTTTCCACAACACTAGTAAAGCAGGAACGAAGGTTTGATATTGACAGCACTGTATTTTGTTATATTTAATGAAATGATATTTTTACCTATACTAGAGTCAGGTTTACATTCATCGGCTCCAATAGCATCCCCGTTTTTCCATTTAGAAATATCGCAAGTAGAACTACATTCATATCCTTCCGCACAAGAGCATTTTGGTTGCTTAAACGAAAATTCTGTGTTCTTTGAGTCGTTGTCATGACTGATACATTTAAGAATTGGTAGGTCTGCAAAAACGCATTTTGATTGCTTCTTGACTTGACATTTTTGATTATGTTGATTTGAATGAGCATCAACATGCTTTAAAACTATTTCATAATCGGTGCTACATTTTTGATTCAGTTGGTTTTCGGATTGCTGCAGATTACTACATTGACTTAACGAAATATCTTCAGGTATTGTATATCCTTCTATGTTACTTTTATTTATGATACTGTCCGGTAGACATTTTATTTTAGATTCAATAATGAATTTTGGTTGTGCCTTGAGTAAATATTTCGAGCTATGTTGCTTTTTAAGAACATTTATGTTACATTCTGAGCTACATTTATGGGTGGATCCGCAAGTACAATTTGTTTGTGAATTGATTCTGCAATCCGAGGAACATGATTTTGTAGAAATTTCTTTTAAATTTGTACCTAGAATGAATTTTTTATACAATTAATAAATATACAGGATAACTGAGAATAAAATAATATAAGGACATGGTATGAAATTCGGCCAATTTTTAAATTTCTAACTCTACTTGCGGTGGGTTCAATTTCTGAAAAAGTTAAAAAAAACTTACAGCTTCTACTCCTTTTCTAATCCCGTCTTTCTCTCTTTCTAACCTTTGTTCAACTATCTGATCATCGCTCCCTTGCCATTTTCTCACATACTTTGATTACTATACGGTGCAAGAGAGAGGTGCGACACGCCCACGGTGTACTATAAGGTGCATCAACTCCTATTTAAAAACAAATGAAAACGGCGATAAAACCGATCGTACTTCCTAGCCAAAATCCGCTAGGTTCGCTAGTATCTATCCGGCGAGAAAGTAAATAAAAGATAAAAGTAGGAGCTGCAATTTAAAAAGTGTTGACAGATAAATATTTTTTAAAATCTTAAAATATATAAATCATGGTGGATCGTTGTGCTGTTTTTAATTGTGATTATGGGAGAGAGTCTTCAAAATATTAATAGCAGTTTTATAATGCCAAAAAACAGTTATACAGAATATGGTGTAAATTATTGGTGGTATGAAAATAAACATTAAACCCAAAAGTTCCATTTGTGAAAAACATTTTAATGCAAATTATGTTATCCGTGAAAAAGTGCAAAGAAATCTACTAGGAAACGTTATTTTTCAAGTAAATATGTTTAATGTCTACGTTTTAAATGATTGTAGGTTATGTAAATAGGTTATTCAACTTTGTCTTTTCTGTAATAAAAATAATTATTAGTATAAAGTTTTACTATATAAATATTTCGTATTATTTATCCTGTCTCCTTGGTACTAATAATGTTATGACTTGGACCCTATTATAATGTGTTCATGATATAAATTTCATATACACAAGGTACCTATTTCTTTTGATATTTTTCTGACCCTGCGAATAAATAAAATCTTTGACTTATTCCTTTTAGCCTTATTATAATGCTAGAAAGTTGTATCTGGTTATAAGAATCAAATAGATACTATGATAAATTTATTTTACTTGTAGCCTTTTTATTTTTAAGTGTTCAAATATACATTTGTTTAATAATAATCATCCCCAAATGTGTTTTGTTCCAGTTCTTTAAATGTATTTACTAGATTTTTATAGAAGTACTGATTTTAAATTAATAAAAATTTGAGCTGTAAGAAATATTTAAGATTTTTCAATTCTGTATTTTTCGTATTTTTATAAGAGTAAATAATCCCTTTAAGTAAATAAATGTAGTTCGGGGTCGTAGATGTTGGTAATTTGTGTATTGAATAATTTGTACATACACTGGTTAATAATTTAAACAATGTTTTTTCTGATGTACCTAATAATTATTTAAGGTTATCTTGTAGTTGAGGAGTCTAGAAATCCGCATATTCACACCACTCTGAAGTCTAGAATTTGACACAAATTTGAAGTTAAAAATAACGATCGTATTACTTAAAAATCTACAGATTTTTTTAATTTTTAATCGATGTAAAAATTGGTAAATACATGATAAAAAGTAAAAGTTATTTCAAATAATTAAATATAACTTTGCAACTATATGTTACGATTCCAACTATCAGAACTAGCCAGAACAAGAATGGTGCATTTCCAGACCCTTCAATTATAAGATTACCATTATTTAATGTGCAGCGCAAATATAAAAAAAACTACCTAAAAAATGCTGTTCCTGCTTTTATTACTTATGATGGGACTACTTCTCAAAGGAGACAAGAATGTGGAAAGTATTGCTGATACAGTTACCGAAGTTATCCACTGGGGGTGAAGTGTTAATCTTTTAGGAATATAGGAAATATTTCTTTATATCTAACAACTTAATATTTATTTATTGATAAGTTATAGATACTATGTATTTGAAATTCGAAGTAATCATTATGACAGCAGTGCTCTTCTTATTGTATTCGAATTCTAACACAAATAAAACATCCCATTAAATTTTTGTTAAAATTATTAATTTATTAATTTTACATTCGAAAGAAAATTAACAATACACACAAAATTATTTAAAATTAGAAATAAATACAATTTACACATTTCCCATTATTACACTTTTACTTACTTAATTTATTCATTTCTTATATTAACAATTTAAATTAATAATATAGTTCATTATTTAATTGGAACTCATTTTATAATTTTACTAATTATTTTTTTATATTTATTTGTGGAAAATTAAATATTAAATAAAAGCATAGGAATTGTTCTATTAGATAATAGCAGTAATGAAAAAATAAGTAGGAAAATTTCAAATGTATAGTTTCCAGATTTATTATGAGTTTTTCATATTAATGTACTCAATAAGTAGGTTTATTATGTTCGCTTGTACACATCACAGTTAGCAGCAGACAGTAACAAACCTGACAACACTTCCGATTTCAGAAAAAAACATTACAACAATTTGTTTTACATTATATATTTCAATAATGTAATATAATAATCATTTATATTTAATTAATGACAAGGTTTACTTTTTAAATAAAACTATATGAGCCCTGTCCCGTTTCAATTAGCACACTTCTCAAATTTATAGTGACTGTCACTACAAGAACAAATCATACATAAATCTGATAAATTACTTATATTTTTTTAACCCTTTCACTTCCACTTTCATTAAAAAAAATACCATTGTAGTAGATTGTATGTTTTCTTTGTTTATTTTAAGTAAATTAAAATTTTTTCATAGTATTTTTTATTACTCCAAGACATAACGTCCCTGTCAGGGACATTACAAAAACAAAAATTTACTATGAAAATAATTTTTTTATAATATTAATCCTTAAAAGTAATGCAAATAAAAGTAAATAAACCAAAAAGAAAAAATTTCTACCAAAATTAACAGATGTATACTTCAGGGTTAATTAAGACAGTGTCCCTCTGGAGGAACAAATACACTGAAAGGGTTAAATATTTACAAATTTTCATGAGTGTTTCATCACCTTTAACTTTGATAACGGCAATAATTCATTAAAACATTGTATTTACAAGTTCTTGAAAATCTTACGTGCAGGGAACCTACTCCATATTTCTAGATTACCCATTTGCTTTAATTCTGGCAGTGATCTTGTGGGTGCTGCACGCTTCTGCTTAAAAATTATCACCCCATATACAAAAAAGCATCTTTATTAAATGAACAAGAAACTAAAAAAAAAAATAAGCATTATTAAAAACTACAAAAAGTGCATAATTTGAAAATCCATATTCAAGTTTGAGATTTGTAAAATTAAAAAAATTCCAAATACACATTTAACTTGTTCAATTATGTATTGAATAAAAGGTCTGTTCCAACAATGATCAGAAACAAACCACTGGGTAGTACACAATTTTGCAGTATCGATAAACTACTGTGCAGAATCCTGATGTCAGCAACTCATTTCTGAGCATTGTTGGAACAAACCTAAAGTAAATCGAAACCACTTAAAAACAAGCACAACATTTATACTCGAGCATAATTTTTAATTCCTATCTAAATTTTTAATTACTGAATATTTTGTTCTAGTTATATTAAAATTTAAAAGTTCTTACGCTTCATTATAATTATATTTTTTATTTTCCCTATATACCTACATACTATCTCTAACATTTTACAAATTTGATGCCTAATTAAAGATATCATCTAGCATTGCAGCATTTTTTAGAATATTTGAGAGAGCATAGTAGTAACTGCCAGTTAAAACTTTATTTCTAGTATTTAGTTTAGGTAACAGAGACAACGCTTGGAACAGAAAATACATACTTTTGTTAATTCAGAATTTTTAAATGTTGTTTTATATTATAAATCTTTCCAGGTATCGGGTATCCTATATCATTTTTTTTATAATTTTCAACCAAAACTGTTTAAAAACAAAAAGTTTAATAAAACACCCATTATATTTAATAAGGTTTATGCTCTAAAACTCACTGTTCTTTTAATGGCAGATTTTTTAACCTCTGAGTAAAGTTAGGTGTAAGTATAATCTATAGCCTAATCAGCAAGTAGTTACTTTCAACTTTATTCAGAGGTAAAAACCTGGCCTTTAATCTTAATATAATTGTGGAGGATGGAGACTACATTTGCTAGGGATTAGGGACTAACGAAGATCTGACTACTATAATGACACTTGCTAAAAACTGTATAAGTTCTATGTACATGCAGATAGAACCATGTGAATAACTTTAGTGCTTCGATAACACAATATTGAAAATTAACAGATGAACATATTGGTCACAAAAACAAATTAAATAATATATTCTACCAATCTCATTTTTTCCAAAAAGTACAGTTACAACCTTGTTATTCTTTGAGATGTATTTATTACTGATACTTATTAATACAAATAATAATAATTGATATAGGTACTTACTGATCTTTGGAAACATATATACTCCAGTCCAGTGAGACTTCATTATTCTGGTATAATGCTATTTCACAGAAATGTTTGTAATTCCAATCACTATGTATGGACTTGATTATAGTAGGTATAAAACTAAATGTTTATTGAATATCTTTAATCTGGGCAATGAAAATCACAAAATTCACTTTAAAAATAATAAGCTTCAATCTGAGTACCATAGTTAAGGTCCACTTCTTCATTTTATAATCAGTAACCCACTGTATTGCTGTTTTTGCCAAAGCCAAAGGTAATATTTGAACACAAAACAAAATCAGCTGTTTTTTATAAACACCCCCATTTCACTTATATATGCTGCGTTTGAGAATCCACATCGGATGCATTTTTTACATCTCGAGCGTTTTTTTATCCACATCGGACACATCTGTCCCATTACATTTACATATACTGAATCACGTGATCAAAGATTTTTTACATCTCAGATGCATCCGATGTGGATTCTCAAACGCGGCATTAGTAGCAAGTCTCTGGCAGCAACTTGTAACTTAATTGGAGCATATTTATTAAATCTTGAACACTTTTTTTGATCGTATAAACTCACACATCAGTGCAGCTTGTTTAAAAAAAAACACTTATAAGCAACCATCAATAACAATAAACTTATTTGTTGACCATTAATTTTTTCATCTGTACTCCTTCTGATAGTTTTGTCATTTTTCATTTCATATAAACTCGAATTTTCACCATAGAAGAACTATTTTTATGATTGCACTTTTTTGACAGATAAAAAGATTGCCGCAATTTCCCGCCGTAACGACACTAGCGAACCTAGCGGATTTTGGCTAGGAAGTACGATCGGTTTTGGTATGTTTTTTTCAGGGAGTTGAAACACCTTTATAGTACGCCGTGGACACGCCCAACATAAGGCGCGGCCATTTTGATTCCTATACCACAGTTTATAGCTAAAGAATCAGATCGCTCACTCTGCGTCGGCACTTTAATATTCACTGACACTGACAGCAGCAAGCAAAATATCAGGTGCGTTTTAATCATCCGCTTCTGTTTCCGGAATTGTCGGTTTAGTCGTTTTAACCTGTCAGATTAAAACAAGAAAACCGACAATTCCGAAGCAGAAGCGGATGATTAAAACGCACCTATTAAAAATATTACGCCAAGATGTAGGCAACACGTAATAAGGGATCAAAATGGCGGAGTTTTCTATCTCTTTTTAAAAAGCACTCAAAAAGCTGCGCAGTTCGACCATTCTCCATATAGTAAAAGAAAATCAAAGTATGTGATCACGATACACAAATACCGGTATGTACGAATTTGACCGAATTTCGTACTTTCCACGCATGACGTAACGTGGCATAAAGCAAACAGTATTTGATTGACGTTTGAATAGGAATTATTTTTTAATACAGTTTTATTTCTAATTTATAAAGCTATAATGATACGAAATAATGATACGCGTTCATTTTTGGAATTTTAAATAGCTTAAAGTGCAATTTTAAAATACCAAATTTGAAATTAATGTGTCTGTGTTTGATTAGTAAAACTTACCTTCTACGTCACATTTATAGGCGTTACTTTGTCGGCTAGCTTTTGAAACGCAAATTAATCTCCCACAAGCGTATATTGGCTGTAAATTGAATCTATTATTCAAGCTGCATTGGCTCACGAAAGTATCTTGGAGATTTGGGTCCGATCTACCTTCTACGCCATTCTTATTCGTGTCACATTCAGGACTGCATTTAGCATCAGGAGAGTGTTGACAAGTGCACTTTATTTGTGAAAAAAAGCAGTTTGGTTGTAAATTAAATGGACATTCTGAACCACAAAATAAGTTTGTAGCATCATCTTGCATATTTATGTCACACTCAGGACTACATCCGCCATCAATGTTAATGCAGCAGGTGCATTTTGGTTGTATACATAAGCAGCTATATTGGTTTGTAGTTTCATTTTCGATATGTACATTACATTCGGGACTACATGTACTATTAAGCTGGCCACAAGTGCATTTTGGATTTGTATTTAATGTACATTCGTAACTACATTGGTTTGTAGTATCATCTTGAGTATTTATAATACATTCGGGACTACACGTATCGTTAAGCTGATCACAAGTGCATTTTGCTCCTGTATAAGTACACTCAGGGCTACACGGATTTGTTCTTGCTTCTACATTTATGTCACATTCGGGACTACATGCGCAATCAATCTGAAGGCCACAACTGCATTTTGGTTGTGCATTGGAGATACATTGCGTGGTACATGTTTGTTCTGTATTTATGTCACATTCAGAACTACATCTACCAATAAGCTGGTGGTCACAAGTGCAATTTGTTTTTGTACTAAAATTGATTTTGGAGCTACATTGCTTGGCATACTCATTTTGTACATTTATTTCATAGTCTGGATAACACTTTTGAGGATCTGATTGAAATCTAACTTCTGCTTTAATATCATACTCATGCATTTTGAAAGAGCATTCTGAATTGCAATGGTTTGTTGTATCATTTTCATTAGCCGGTAGATCAAAAAAACAAGTCGGTTGCATATTTACTGCACATTGATTTAAAGGAATACTTCGTGGTGCCGGAAAAAACATATTTTCAACATAGCTTTTATATTTTGAACACTCTGAATCATATTTCATCGCGGATAAGTCTTTAAAATAGTACATGTTATTAGGTCGACTCTTAATGATTTGATTATCTCTAGCCGTATTTGGTTTGGAGTCAGGTATTATATCTAAACTAGTTCTACAGATTTCACCTTCGGAATTACATTCATAAATGGTTTCGTTTAGAAAAAAGTATATCGGCTGAGTATTATTAAATTTACATTCACGGCTACATTCAGTCCTTGTATTATTTTGTGGGTTCGATCGATTATTTGGTTTGGGTGGACAATCTGGATATAACTGAGTACAGTTGGCATTAGATTGAGCATGGGAGCATGTTGGTTTGAATATACATTCTGGATAAGGCTGGTTACAGTTAACAATTGCTTGGGCTCGTGAGCATGTTGGCTTGGGTATACATTCTAAACAACACTGGGTACACTTATCAACAGGTCTACTATACGAGCATTTTGGTTTGGGTTTACATTCTGGATAATACTGGTGACAGCAGTTTTCAATTGGTTTAGCATAGGAGCATTTCGGTATGGGTCTACATTCTGGATAATACTGGTTGCAGCAGTTCTCAATTGATCTAGCATAGGAACATTTTGGTTTGGGTTTACATTTAGGAGAACACTGGTTACAATTGCCTATTGGTTTACATTTTGGGTTCGGTTTACACTCTGGATAATACTGGTCACAGTTGTCAATTGGCCTAGCACAGCAGCATATTGGTTTCGGGTTACATTCAGGACAATATTGGCTACAGTTGTCAATTATTGTTCTACTATATGTGCATTTTGGTTTGGGTTTACATTTTGGACTACATTTCGGAATATCAGGTTTTGGTTGACATTTTCGTTGAGGGTTAAATAAACAATCTGGACTACATTGGCTTGAACAGGGTTGTGGCTTAAAGTAATAATTTGGTTTTGGATTGTGTATACATTCTGGGCTGCACTCATTTGTAGGACAATATGGTACAGGTGCATATTCGTTACTCATATTATTGACACAGTTTGGACCACATTGACCACCTAAATAAGAAAATTGTGATTGTGTTGGGAGGTTGTATGTTGTATGTTGATCATCTGGTTCATTTCCCATAATAGGTGGACTATATTCCATAGCACGCCGTGCGAGTCCCATAATAGGTGGTTTATGTTCCATAGTAGGTGGTTTATGTTCCATAGTAGGTGGTTTATATTCCATAGTAGGTTGTCTATATGGATTATGTTCCGATGGTGATTGTTTATATTCCGTTGTAGGTAGTGCATGTTGCATTGTAGGTGGTGCAACTTCCATAGATTTATATTGAGGTTCATGTTGCATCCAAGGTGGTTGATCTGGCGGCCCGAATTCGAAAATATCATTAATTATTTTTACATCGCGAGGTTCATTATCTTGCGAAGTTATATTATCCTCTTTAGGTTTAAATTGATACAATAAAATATCAGCATTGCGGGCGTTAGATTCAAATATTTCGTGACTGGGAGTCAACGACAAAAAAGTGTTCTCATCCGTCAGATTTTTATCGGAAGATTCATAATAAGGTTCTGCTTCGGTGTTGTCATCGACGCTTTTTCCTGGTATGGATGCACGAAAAATGTGTCTGAGTGGCAGGTTATCTAAATATTTAAAAACAAATATATATTAAAATTATGAATTTATATAGCTAATATGTAACTCAGATTTTTTTGTATAAATATAAGTTGGAACTCTAAGAAATTGCTATCTATAAAATTTGACCAGTAATTTTTGGTTCGGAATTAGATAATCTAACGTACGGTAGACGATTGGCAAAAACAACAAACAACAACTTCTTTGGTAATGTTATTTATTAGTCCGTCATCTGTATTATTATTATTTTGGAATTTTTAGTTATATTCAATGTGTTTAATTAAAAAAAAATCACAAATCAGTTGGATATAGGTATAGGGTAACTCCTAATATTTATTGAGAATATTAAATCTATTTTTATTACACATTTTTTTAGTCTTTGGGAGCACTGATCTGTATTATTTTACTGGATAGGATATAGCCCCCTAAAAAAAAACATTCCGAAAAATTGGCCGATTTGGGCAAATAATATGGCTGACCGGATGTTATTTAACATAACTTCTATTTGCATTTGTCATCACATTTGTCCTTTTAATTGTGTCAACAAATTATGAAGACATGTTTTTATTGTGGAAAACGGAGTAAAAAGAGTATATGTACTCTTCATAGGTAATTTTATAATAATTTGTTGATAGATTTACTATTTTGTCGAAACAAACTGAAACAATTACTAATTTACACATTATTATACAATCATACAAAAATACAAATAACATTTTTCGACTAAATCAGAAAATTGAAGTGAATTATAACGATATTACTAAATTAAATAATGTTCTTGTTATTAGAGGTTTCCTACAGAATTGGAGCTTCTGGGGAAACGGCTGAAGAGTATGGATATGAACAATTTTAATGTTGTGCAGGAATGCGATTATGTTATGTTATTATAAAAATATCTTTTGATGGCAGTTTCTACACATTTTATTTTTGAAAAGAATATAAATATACGTCTCATTGAATTAAACTGTTTTTCATTTGGGAAATATTTTCCAAGTTTATTACAATGGTTGGAATTCAAATTTTTACCAAGTATATCAAGGAATTTAGTCAAAAATCTAAGCGAATCAACCAATTGAAGTTTTATAAATGAATCTCGAAATTAAGGATTGTTAAACTTTCCATACAAAAAGAACTGTATTTCTCCTTTATTTGAGCTAGTGCTGATTCAGATTCCTTTTTGATAAAGAAATGATTAGCATAGTTGGTAAGTTTGTGGAAAAATACCGGAATAAAATTTTATAGTTTATAATTTAAATTACAGTAATTGTGTGCAGCGTTTCTATATTCCCCCGATATATTGTAATGATCACTTATTTTTTTGTTGAACGGATTAAAAGGGTAGTTGGTTGCATAACCTTAACATGCTTTAAATGGCAATGGGCCATGTTCACATGTGAGATATGCTGTTTTATAAATTATATTGTAATAGTTAGTCGCTATACAAGTTATTCTAAATAGTCAGTTCATTAAAAAAGCCAAAAGTTTTTAAATTAAGCCCAAATGAAATTTAAAATTTGAAATTATACGTCATCGGGAATAGACCAATCTTGTGTCGAAGTTTTTTTTTTTGTTATACAAAACCAAGCCAACGAACAAACCGACACACAGAATGTCGAAGTGAACGCACATCTAAGTGACATTAAAATTGACACCACCTAACACCTAACCTTAGTTTTTTGTTTTGGTTTAATTTTATTATTAATATGAAATTATCAGCTGGATTTATAAAAGTTGAATCAAGGTTTTACCCATTGTAAACGAAAATATGATTACCGAGATGATTACTGCATTTTTTAACAATACTCAGTTTACAAAAGACACAAAGGTAATACTTTATTTATAATTTGTTAGTTACAGTTTATATGGAGCAATGCACCTTATAGTAAAACATATTTATCTCAGGTTTTATTTTTAGATCTGCCAAGCAAGAATATGGAGATAATTACTTTTTCCATAAGAGAGAAGGAGACAAATTACACCTAAACATAAAGTACGGCAAAAACCTTATGATGTGGTTGTTGTAATTAACAAAAATGAAATTTTTAGTGCAAAAGCTTAGGATATTCTGCATCTCAAGGTTTGTAATATTTATTATGCTTTTTTGTTTTTATATCACATATAATAAACAGAGTATAAGGCCCTTTATTCCTATAAATATTTTTTTTTTCTAATTTTGACATATAAAGAGACATTTTTTGTAATCGCAGCAAGTGTTAAAATAATCTAGAAAGTGAAAGAATGCTGCAGAGCACCTATGAAATTTTGAGTTAAAACATATGCTATATTTTTATACCCTTTTCAAAAATTTTATGCTCCTCGTTTTGTGCAAAACGTAAAATGCTCTGATAGCTTCGAACGAAGTCAGCAAAGCACCTCTGTTTTATAAAGTTTTTTCTGTAAAAACAGCAACACCATATTTTTATGTACTTGAAATACTATCAATTTTTTTCGAAAAAAAAAAAAAAAAATGATATTTTTAAAAAATACATGGTGCTTGCTAACCTTCGAAAGAAGCCAGCAGAGCAATTCGGTTTTTTAAAGCTTTTTTCTAAAAACCACACCCCATTTTTAGAATATTTTTAGACTCTTGAAATATTGTAAAACTTAACTAAAAAAATTGCTATTTTTAAATAATACAGGGTGCTTTGTTGGAACAAAGTCAGCAGGACACTTCAGTTTTTTAATTTGTTTTTTTTTATATATAAAAACAACTACTTATGACACATGTTTAGGCTGTTTTAAAATCCTTAAAATGTGGTAAGTATATTTGTTTTCAGAAAAAAACTTTGAAGTCAGCAAGGAATTGCGATTTTTTTTAAAAATGCCAAATTTCGAATATTTTATATTGTAGGAGCCAAAAAACGTGGTGTGGTTAAAAAAACAACTGGAGTGCTCTGCTGGATTTGTTTGAAGCTAACAAAGCATCCCGTAATTTTTTATTTTATAATACTCAATAGCCTAAAATGAGACATAGCTGTTTAAACAAAAAATTGTACTTTTAAAAATAGCAGTTTTTTTCGAAAAGCTCTATAATATTTCAAAAATGTGAAAATGTGGTGAGATTGTTTTTTTTTAAGTTTTGAAAATCCGAGGTTCTTTACTGGATTCGTTCAGAGCTAGTAAAGCTGTAGCTGGTTATATAGTTATTTTGTAACTGCATATCTAACCCTTTTATTTTTTTTTAGGTGGTTGTAAACATGTGGCTTCATAGAAGAAGTGAGGAACCATCTGTAACATCTACTCAGTGTTATTGGAAAGGCTCTAATTTATCAAAATGCGTAAATATTGATGTACACTTGGCTAGATTGTTAAAGAAACCTCTTCATCCACTACAGGAAAGTAAATCAGTACTTTTATATTCTTAGGATTTGTATATATATTTTTTATTTGTAAATAAATTGTTTTTTACTTCATTTTTTATTAAAAGGTTAATAAATAAAATTTTCACAGATTTTTATATTTTTGTTTGTAAACAATAATTGAAAAGTTTTTATTAAAAATCACCAATGTTAATAATAATAACTTAAGTCAATATTATTCTTTCTCCTTTTTTAAAGCTACTATCAATAAAGGTATTACTTTAGCTTGACCTATGATCAATTTTTAATTTTGTGATATATTTGGTTTGACAGAAAAAAATTATAACCCTTTGACATTGATTGTTTTTACTTAGATTTTCATAAAAAATAAATGGAACTGCAAACATGTTTTACTATTGTAATAACGAATAGCAACATTACATTTTTTTTTCACATTTATCACTGTTGTCATTTTCGTAAAGGATTGATAAGAAGGCACACTTTCTGGTTTTTTGAAAAAGGTGGCAAAAATTGTGATATTTTTAAATTTATCACCAGTGATACCACATGTAGTTACGCGATTTATTGGAATATATAGACCTTGCTACCACATTCAACTGAACTTGGTTGTTTTTAATATTTATCACTGTGACAGGCGTTTTTGTTAAAATGTTTCATTTTAAACTGCTGTAAATAGGTGCCATTGGTTTGGTAGTTTTAGTCCCAAAAAAATCTATGCATATACAGGTACTCATTCCTCTTTGATTTGCTGGAAAAGTTAAAATTTTATAAAAAATTACATTGGCTGTTTAAAAACTCATTATAATCCCTGAAATGTGATAATTAGGTATATTAAATTAAAAAACAAATAAAAAAAAGTTTATTAAATTAATATTTACTGTTACAAAATAGGTTCTTGTAAGTTAACAAGCAATTATGCAGATATTACTAAGTAAATGTACTTGCTTAAAATTCACACAGGGATGTAGTTTTAACATGTTAAATTAACTAACCCTTCTTATAACTCTTTCCACATGTATTCTTAGAGATGCTATTCTTTTACTTAATTGTACATCTTCTGGAGAACTTTTTTCATTCTGTGATACACTAGGTGTGGCTTTACTAAAGTGCATCTCATGTTTTCAAGTAGCTAAATATTCTGAAACCCCTATCTGCCATTATATGGGATCCAGGAACCAGTTTGTTTAAATACCGACATTTTTCTATTATTTCTTTATCACTAGTTCTTCCACAAAATGATGAATAAATTCGGTATCTTCAAAACTTTCAGGAGATTCTGCATTTTCTTCCAGAAGGGTTTTTAGGTTATATACCTAAGAATTTATAGTAGCCTCATTTTCAATTTCCTGAAGGGGACAATTAGCAGAAATTGCTGCTACATCTTGATAATCCGGTGTATTTTTATTAAAAAGTTCACGAGAAACATCGCTAGTAGAAGGTTGATTTTCTTCTTTCCAAATTTCTAGGAACACTAATAAATATTTTTGAAGATGAATGTGAATCATTATCACTTATCATATTCTGGAAAAAAAACACTTTTTCGTAGTCATAATATTTATAAAAAGTACAAAATTAAACACTTAAATTCCAAATAAATTCTTGATCGAGACACTATGATGACAGATGCCATACACAGTGCTGCCATTTTGCCATTTTCTGAATTATTAAGTGACTTTTAAAACAATGAA